AAATGAGTGCTGAGTCCCTAGCAGCCAGAATTACCCTATGGGAGCGTAGTTGAAGAGGGCTGCTATAGACCTGCCAAACTGTTGAATAGCATATGCTTATTAAGGGTGGGAGCGGTATCATGAGTGTGTACCTCAATTAATATTTACAGGAATATTGCTTACAGTAGATTCTAGAAGACCTAGCATTTTATTTCTAATTTCCACCCATCCTGAAATTTGTGTTCATACCTCTCAATTTTCTATGTAACTCTTTCTTTGTAACTTTGAGACTATGGCAGAACTTCAAGGGATATCACAGTGGCTGTTTCAGAATGAAACAACAAAATAAAAGAAGTAACAGGGCAGTAGCAGTTTAGTAATTGAACCTAAGCTCTGAAATGTTTAATGATAAGAATGGTAAATATTATCAAAACCACCAAGTTATATAGGAAGTATAGACTTGCTGATTTATATGTGCGTGCATATATATATATACATATATATATGTATATATATATGTATATATATATATATACATATATATATGTATATATATATATATATATTCATCCTATAACAATAAAATAACAAAACAGAGGTTTTATTGTAGCACCTGCCATCTCTATTCAACACTTATGACAAAATATCTTAAAAGCAATTCACATTGCATTGTGAATTTTGCCAGCTGTGTTAAGAATTTTCTCTTAAAATTTTCTCTTAAAAGCAATTCAACACTTATGACAAAATATCTTAAAAGCAATTCACATTGCATTGTGAATTTTGCCAGCTGTGTTAAGAATTTTCTCCTCCTTTCAAAAATAAAATTTGATGTTTTGGAACAATTTTTACTCACCTCTAAAACCTATTTTTCTTAGTTTCCTGTTTTCTGATGTTTTACTGTACCTGTTTAAGCTCTTTCCCCAAAATAGTGGGAGTTATTATCAAATATCTAATAATGCAAAAAGAATGTGTTTTCTGAGGTTTTTCTTTTCCTCTTCTGAGAAGTCATATAAAAAGCTGTTTTTAAGCCTCTCTCCTTTGGGGGTGCCAAATTAAGGACTGCCTCTCATTCACAGATAGGAGTAGCACAATCAAATGGGGTGTGATTGTTTTGTTCAAAGAACATTCGGTTCTGCATTTCCTTCATTTCACATCAAAATTATCATAGCCAATAAACAGAACAGCAACTACAAAACAAGTTTGCTATTACTTCTAAATTAGTTTTAAAATTCAAGAAACTGGTAAAATGGCTCTTTTTGCATCTAAGGCCAGGACAATATGCTGAACAGTGATTTATTAAGATCCCACTGATATTAAGAACTAGTTAATGGTTAACTATGATTATGCTTTCAAATAGCAGTGATGATTTGAAAGCACTGGATAAAACCTCATGTTTCAGGGTACATGAACAATTTTGTTTCCTTAAGTTTAATCAAAACTCAATCTTGTCTTTTGCAGCCCTGCTAAGGTTATTGTTATTTAGTATGCATCAATAAATAAACTTCCAATTATCTTGGTAAGCACATCCAAAAATAGCTTGAGATTTCAAAGGCAATGGTGTATCTAGTAATTGTTCCAAATAAATAATTTTAATAGATAGGATCTTTTTTTAATTTCAGATGAAACAGAAATCTTATGAAATTTAATTAGTTTTGCTAGAGTTAAACTATGCAGAAATACCCAGTGAAAATGGACATTCTGTTTTATTAACTGCATATGCTCATCTTTTATACCAGTTGTAACTTGTTAAGAGCATTTAAAAATTTTTTTTTGTAAATGATTAATTTACAAGAAAAGTTATTTAAGTTGAAAAAGGTGAAGGATTTTACATTCTGCTTTAAATATATTATATGTATATATTTATGTGTGTATATATGTTTATGCATGACAACTGTAAGTTTAATTTTTGCCAGTTTAATTTTTGTTAAAAGGTATTTTTCTCTATCATGTTTGATCTGTATGTTAACTAATGCCAACAATATTTAGCTCAGCTAAATGAAAGGAAGACCCGCTTTTTAACTTTTGAGTGTGTACTTGCGTGTGTGTGTGTGTGTGTGTGTGTGTGTTTTGTGGTAAATTCCATTGCCTGTGACTTTTAAATTATTTTCCGAGACCTTGCTGCAAACTGTTTATTCATGTCTCTCTTGTATAAAGCTCCTAAAATGCCCAGTCATAGGATATGTAAGTTGTTATTTTCTCCACTCATTATTTTGATAATATTTAAAGAAAAAAATCCTAATGGAAATTCCCTAGAAATAACTTACAGGACTAATGAATTTATAGGTCTTTTAGACAGTTCTACATTACAGTCACATTAATATTCTCTGCTTTTTATAAGGCTTGAAGTAAATCCCATGACACTAGAAGAATTTAGATACTGATTACTCGCGATTGGTTCCTGGTGATTTGCTCTTAATAATTTCCAGTTGAATTTAATGAAAGTATGATTCCTGAAATGCTGCTTCATTAAAATTGCATCTTTTTCTCTTTAAGTGTGGTTTCAGTCATTTCACCCATTTTGTGGTGTGTTTTCCTCCCTGTTAAAAAGCAATGATTGAGAAAGCCAAGACAATTAAGCATATCACTTTAGTTCTTCCTAGAACTCACTGTCACAGCCTCTCTGAGCTAACTGATGGGAGTTGCACTTCATCAGGATTCACAGTACTATTTTACCTTTGGAAGAGATTATTTTAAAATGTGCAAAATTTTAAAACAAAAATATACCAAGATTGGGGTAGCCGAGGGAAAGTGAAGAAAAAAATCTGTTGCATGTACAAGAGAAATAAGGTCTTTCATTATTTTTACTAGATATATACGCATACACATATATAAAGGTTGATTAAGTTATACTGTGCAGCATTCAGACTTAATTTAACTGAGTTGGTGATTTGCAAATGAATATCTACATGGATCCTTTTTTAAAATCCAAATGCAAATGAGTACAACTGCAGTAAAATATATTTGCAAATGAATCCTGTTGCTTTATTCATTTATTGTGTAATTACTGCAATCCTTCCCACCTTGTTTTCAGTATTTCTTAATCATTAAGTCGGAAGCATGACAGCAGTGCCAGCCCTGGCATGATTCTCTTTGACTAAAACCTTGTAAATTAACACAATTAGCACAGCATCATCCTGCTAATTAACTTCCAGTGTCTGGTGCAGTGGTTTTGCAAACAAGGAAGAGGGAGTCAGAAGGGAATCAACATGCCATTCTGTTACCAAACTGTGTGCTGTGTTCAGTTTAGCTCAGTAAGTCAAAGCTGGCCATGTCAGAAGCCAGAGCCAGGCAATGAAGAGCTAAAGGGGTTGAAGGAGGAGAACAGAAGGTGGTAGAAGCTGTCAAAATAGACTGGTAATTCAGAAGGGAGCTGATGCCACAGATGCTTCATTTAGACCAGGCCTCCTTCTTATCAAGGAATCTCTGCCAGAGGGCACAAGACGGTTTGCAAAATTCACTTTGGGTAATACAAAGGAGATTAAGTTCTGTACCAGAACAGGAAATGCTCCAACCAAGCAGAAATTAGAATGGGATGATAGGGTGATAGGAAATAAGAGAACAGGGTTCCAGTTTTCTTCTGCAAATAACTACCTGTGAGGCCTTGAAGGATGCTTTGGGAATCTCTTTGGACCATGTTTTTCTAATCTGTGAAATAAGTTCATTTTCAAGACCTTTTTAAAAGTTTAAATTCAAATGATTCCCTGATTCTAACTGCTTAGTATGTTCTCTTATTATGGGGAAAATACTTATTTTACAGTGTGTTCAATAGTCACTTTGCTTCAGTTAGTAATCTAGCCGATGACAGAATTTCATATATGAGCCCATTATGTAGTATTATTTTTTCAGTTTCTGCCACACACAGCTTCCTGTAGAAATGTAAAGAGTTAGAAACCAGAATCTCTCTCCAGTCTTACCTTCCTTTTTTAGTTTCCCCCCTCTCTCTCATATGCATATATATATATATATAAAATATATATATATATATATATATATATATATATATATATATATATATAATCATATGTTCTGCCCTCCCCTCTTGGTAAGATGGAGGCTATAAAGGGAGGAGGATTATAAGAGAAGAAGGGAGAATGCTAGAAGACGGACAGACAAGTGATGCTTGTTTTTTTTTCCAGAGACTCAACAACAGAACTGAGAGGCAGAAAGGAGCCAGTTGTAATTCATACCGAGTTGTAGGCTTTGTGCGATGAAAGCGATGGAGCGCTGCCTGGGAGATTGCTTTGCTGCACTCCACGAAGCAGATTTGAAACTGTCGTGGACCACTTTAGATGAGAGTTGGATTATGGAATGACCTGCTATGTCTGTGTCATATTGTTCTGCGCAGGGAGCATTATACTGTGCTAACTAGGTGTTCAGTACCAAATAAGAGAGGTATCCTAGATGTGATCTGTCAGCTGTGTCTCATTTTTATATTGTTAACATATAAAACAGAAACTGTGATGTGAAGAGACAGAATAGCTAGATATTGTACATGTTAATACTATCATATGCCAGATATTTAAAATCCATGAATATTTTATTGGAATAACCCATGATTGAATTCTCATCTGCAGAAATGTGTGTGTACATATATATGTTTGTGTATGTGTGTGTAATATACAGTAAATTGATGGGCTTGACAGAAATAGATTTGCTTATTACTTAAAAATGAAAAGCATTGGGTCTTCTACAGAGTTTTCTTTTAAATGCAGTTTACTTTCATAGAGGGCTAAAATTCAGTTCATTTTAAAGAGTTTATATTATAGAGATCTGATTGGAAATGTAGCTCAGTGGTAGAGTGCTTGCCTAGCATGCACGATGCCCTGGGTTCAATCCTCAGTCCCACAAAAGCATAATACAGAGATCATAATGGGTACTGTAAGCTGTGGAGATTCTTTATAATGTAGATATCATTAATGGAAGATAATAGGTGGAAAAAGCATTTGGGGGGAAAGCTTTAAGACGTATGATGAATAGCTATGTGAATTAATTGTTTCCACCACCCTCCCCCAAATCCTTAGGCTTGAAGATGCAGTGGACGCCGGAGCATGCCCAGTGGCCAGAACAGCACTTTGACATCACCTCAACCACTCGGTCTCCTGCCCACAAAGTTGAAGCCTACAGAGGTCATTTGCAGCGCACCTATCAGTATGCTTGGGCGAATGATGACATATCTGCTCTGACTGCATCCAACCTACTAAAAAAGTATGCAGAGAAGTATTCTGGCATTTTGGAAGGTCCTGTGGACCGACCTGTTCTCAGCAACTATTCAGATGCACCATCGGGACTAGTGAATGGTCGGAAAAATGAAAGTGAACCCTGGCAGCCTTCCTTGAATTCTGAGTCTGTGTATCCCATGAACTGTGTTCCGGATGTTATCGCCGCCAGCAAAGCCGGAGTCAGTTCAGCCCTCCCTCCAGCAGATGTCTCTGCAAGTATAGGGAGCTCTCCTGGGGTGGCCAGCAACCTGACAGAACCTAGTTACTCAAGTAGTACCTGTGGAAGCCACACCGTACCTAGTCTTCATGCAGGGCTCCCATCTCAGGAATATGCCCCAGGATACAACGGATCATATTTGCATTCTACTTACAGTAGCCAGCCAGCACCTGCACTTCCTTCACCTCATCCATCTCCTTTGCATAGCTCTGGGCTCCTACAGCCACCACCGCCACCTCCTCCACCACCAGCCCTGGTCCCAGGCTACAATGGGACTTCTAACCTCTCCAGTTACAGCTATCCCTCTGCTAGCTATCCTCCTCAGACTGCTGTGGGGTCTGGGTACAGCCCTGGGGGTGCACCCCCTCCTCCTTCAGCATACCTGCCTTCAGGAATCCCTGCCCCCACTCCCCTGCCCCCCACCACTGTTCCTGGTTACACCTACCAGGGTCATGGTTTGACACCTATTGCACCCTCGGCTCTGACAAATAGTTCGGCAAGTTCTCTCAAAAGGAAAGCTTTCTACATGGCAGGGCAAGGAGATATGGACTCCAGTTATGGAAATTACAGCTATGGCCAACAGAGATCTACACAGAGTCCTATGTACCGAATGCCCGACAACGGCATTTCAAACACAAATCGGGGGAATGGCTTTGACAGAAGTGCTGAAACATCATCCTTAGCATTTAAGCCAACGAAGCAGCTAATGTCCTCTGAACAGCAAAGGAAATTCAGCAGCCAGTCCAGTAGGGCTCTGACCCCTCCTTCCTACAGTACTGCTAAAAATTCATTGGGATCAAGATCCAGTGAATCCTTTGGGAAGTACACATCGCCCGTAATGAGTGAGCATGGGGACGAGCACAGGCAGCTCCTCTCTCACCCAATGCAAGGCCCTGGACTCCGTGCAGCTACCTCATCCAACCACTCTGTGGACGAGCAACTGAAGAACACCGACACACACCTCATTGACCTGGTAACCAACGAGATTATCACCCAAGGACCTCCAGTGGACTGGAGTGACATCGCTGGTCTCGACCTGGTGAAGGCTGTCATTAAAGAGGAGGTTTTGTGGCCAGTGTTGAGGTCAGATGCATTCAGTGGACTGACGGCCTTACCCCGGAGCATCCTTTTATTTGGACCTCGTGGAACAGGCAAAACATTACTGGGCAGATGCATAGCTGGTCAGCTGGGGGCCACGTTTTTCAAAATTGCTGGTTCTGGACTAGTCGCCAAGTGGTTAGGAGAAGCAGAGAAAATTATCCATGCCTCTTTTCTCGTGGCCAGGTGTCGCCAGCCCTCAGTGATTTTTGTTAGTGACATTGACATGCTCCTTTCCTCTCAAGTGAGTGAGGAACACAGTCCAGTCAGTCGGATGAGAACCGAATTTCTGATGCAGCTGGACACTGTACTAACTTCGGCTGAGGACCAAATCGTAGTAATTTGTGCCACCAGTAAACCAGAAGAAATAGATGAATCTCTTCGTAGGTACTTCATGAAACGACTTTTAATCCCACTTCCTGACAGCACAGCGAGGCACCAGATAATAGTACAACTGCTCTCACAGCACAATTACTGTCTCAATGACAAGGAGTTTGCACTGCTCGTCCAGCGCACAGAAGGCTTTTCCGGACTAGACGTGGCTCATTTGTGTCAGGAAGCAGCTGTGGGCCCCCTCCACGCCATGCCAGCCACGGACCTTTCAGCCATTATGCCCAGCCAGTTGAGGCCCGTTACATATCAAGACTTTGAAAATGCTTTCTGCAAGATTCAGCCTAGCATATCTCAAAAAGAGCTTGATATGTACGTTGAATGGAACAAAATGTTTGGTTGCAGTCAGTGATAACGTCTTTTTTTAAAAAAAAATGCAATGAATGTTGGCACACACACAAAAAACCTGCTACATAGGGAATAGAGCCCCTTTCCAGTAGTGTTTAAATTGCAAAGGGTACTGGGGAAGACGACAATTAAGTTGCATCTTTATAGAGTCAGGGTAGATTTGGAGGAAAAGTGGATCAAATGAGAGCTTCTGATTTGAAAGCCCCAGATGACAGAAAGCGTTCGCGGATGCTCAGTTCGGTTCAAGCTAGACAACACTCACCAAGGAGCAAGGTGCAAGTGTGTTGATTTCAGAAGGACATGAACCTCGTGTGTTGATTCCATTCTGCTGTTCTTGAGATTTAGTTGCTGTCAAGTGCCTGGAGTGGTGCTTTATTTTTTGTTTGCCTCACAATTACATTGGTGGCATGTGCTAATATAAAGAGCTTTAACTTCAAACATTATTGGACTAAAGAGATGAACGGTTGTGTTACAAACAGAAAACCAGATTTTTGCCATTTTAAGAGCAACAGTATTCCTCAATCCTGTCTGTTCTGCAGTATTAAGCTAAGAACAGGTAAAACAGGGTAACGGTAATCTGGACCTTAATTTCTGCAGTTCATTTCTTTTAATGTTCTTGTCTGCAAAAACTCAGGAAAGTGATTGTGATTTGTACAGTACCTCAAAGGAATGTGTTGAAAGCACTATGTACTGCTGAGAGTAATAGGATAGGCTTCAATGTTACTTTATATTAAAATGTATGTTTACCTCAACAATTGGAAAATAGCAAGGAAAATTACTTTGAATGTATCCAGAAAAATATTGAAGTGTGATACAACTGAATACTTATGATTTAAAGTAGAAATGGAAGGATTTTTTAAAAGTTCTTTTACTAATTATGGGGAATTAACCAGAGCAGAATAATTCTTTATGTCAATAACTGCAAGAGTTCTTAGTACATTGCTCCTTGATAATTAAGTGAAATGTTCTTAAAAGGTACACTGGTTAATGGAAAGCTACTTATTCAGTTTGTGTTAGTGTCTCGAACAGTCAGCCACAGACCTATTTAGGACCCTGAAAGTCACAGTACCTGAAAAGGAGGACTGCCTTTTACTGCCTAGCTGGTAGTGGGGGTGGTGGTGGTGGTAGTTTGCAAGTTCTCCTTAAACTGCTGGGAATGGTGTCGTTCTCTTCACTAATCTAGCTTATAGGCTTGCCATGCTGTTTGATAGAATGCAGAGGATAGCAACCCAAACCCACAAACAAGGAAAAATTTAAAAACAACCAATATGTATCCGCAAAGAGCCTCTCCATCCCTTCCCCTTTTTGACTTCACTCTTGTCAGTGCAATTCTGCTTCTCATTTTGAAATCCGGGCTCTCGTGCTCCTGCGTTCATTTCTACCTCAGTTTTGTTACGTTTCTCTTGGAAAGCAAAGTAGGAAATTGAAAGTGGACACACACACCACAGTATAGCTTGCCAAACATGTTGCTTTGTTTCCTTCCATCTCTCCGCATACATCAAGTTTCCCAGAACATTAGTCTTTATGCTTACTTCTGCCTCAGTCCACCACCCGCCTCTCCTAGCATATGTGGCATTTTTCTTATTTCCCCATTCCTCTTCTGCTTCCCACCAACTTGTTCTTTGTATCCTTTAATGCTTTATGTGCAACTTTTCATCAAGAGCCGGCTGATGGTCACCAATGCCTCTGAACAGTCACACTGCAGGCTGTAGCTTACCAAAGCCACTGCCCATGCATAAGCAGAACAGCCTAGCATTTTGAATGTATTTTCCTGTCTTTTTATTTTTATTTTTATTTTTTTTAGTTTAGAAATGCAGTAACAAAACTGTTGCAAAGCACTGGCATTTTATGTATTCAATAAGTGATGTACATTTTAATAAATAAATAAATAATAAATAAATAAATAAATAAATGCAATGAGAAGCCCCGAGAAAGGTCTTTCTGTTAATTTTTTTCTTTCATTTTTTTTCTTTTTTCTTCTTCTTCCTCTGCTTTTCACTGGTTTTTTTTTTTTTTACTGAGCTCATCCACAATGTTAAATTCCCTGAAACATTTAACATAGAAAAACTGGTAAGGGACTTTATGACATTTCTTAAACTTTATGATACTTGGTGATTATCCCACCCTTCACTTTTTTTTTTTAATCTTTCATGTTGGTAAAAATCGAGCAAATGAACCAGAATTTAATTCACTATGATATTCTATCAGTTGAAACTGTGCTTAAACATAGATAGTTCATATTAAAAAGCAGTGCCTTTCATTAAGGATACAAAAAATAATACTTAAACATGTCCTCTGCTTTTCACAAGTGGATAAAAAGCTGTGATCTGGGTCTACTGCGTATATCCCTTGTTGTAAGGAAATTCTGGTGTCCACATTAACTTGTAGGTTCACATTGATCTCACTGACAAGTTTCCTTTTGCACAGTGCTGACCTATTTTTTTTGTCTTTGAGACATTACATCTCATTTCCGCCAACATGTGTGTTCACTTGAAAGCATCTGGCAAGTTTCGACAAACCGAGTCTTATTTAGACAAATTTGGAAAAATTCTATACTGACCCACATTTTTTTTTGTGACTAGTGAGACTTAATGCCAAATATATGACTGCACTATTGTGTTTCAGACTCATTTATAATAAGACTGAAAATAAAGTTATACATTATTGGCTTTTAGCTTTAAATGACTTAAAGTTAATTCGAGATAAGAGTGGTCAAAAGTCCATGAATTTAGCAGAAGCTTAAGTTGAGTGTGATGTTCATTTAGCCTCACCAGTTCTGGGATTTGCTCTCTTAGGAAATTGGACAGGACGAAGAAATGAAGATCTTTTGGAGAAGCTAAGGCTGACCTTTGAGTAGAAGTGCTTGCCTGTGATTCTTTGATTCTACATGTAAGCCCTTCTGTAGATTAGCTTAATAATGAGCTCTTTTCTGACCATCTGTTTGGGGCCTTTGGGATGGAGTGGGTTCCACATCCTCAGAGATGACTGTGTACCTTGGAGATAGTACCCTGAAGCTGAGTAACCAGCTTTATACTCTTGGCCTCTTACTGACTGTGAAGAATATGGAGAAGGCTTCTAGTAAAGGTAAGGTAATGAACCAGTCCAAACCTCTTGCTGTCTGACAGGGGATTCAACCACTCTACCTAATAGCTCCTAGTTTCCTTCTTTACAACTGCAGTGACATTTCCAACATAGACAAAAAGGAAGTGAAGGAAGCTACTCCAGTGGAAGGATCAATAGAAATTCAAGAGGTAGTTTATAATGACCTTGTGTGTGACACAAGTGGAAATACTCCACACGTCTGGCATGCTTCTCTCCAAAATATTTAGAACATTAGTGACAATATGGAAAACTTTGCTGACTGAGCTGATCAATGGAATGTGAAGGCAGTATACTTTAAAGCTATTTACTTTCACACAGAATGTTTATCTATTAGTCAGTTTGTATTCCACTCAAATGCAGATAGACGGGTATAATGTTTTCTTGTGCATTTGAAACCTATCAAGGAGAAAATAAACCATTCCACTAAAATACATAGGCCAAACACCATCTGGGCAAGTGATAAAAGCTATCCAGAGGCTATGCTATGTAAAATAGCAAGGTCAATTTACATGGGTTGCATAGTACTTGGCTATGCAGTTTTCAAAGGAATACATCCAAAAAAAATTCCAAATTAATTCCTACAATAGGTTGTTGTAAATTGAAATATATTTGTGGGTTGCAGAGTGTGTTTTAGAGACATTTAGTATCTCTCTGAGAACATATTCTACTCCAAGCATAAAGATACTTCTGTAATCCAACTCTGTTTCTTAGCAAGAATTGGGTGTCATAATCATTGAATCTGTATTTTGCAAAGTGAAAGGGACACAGTTTGTTGAACTATTGAGGCCACTAAAGTAAAGTTCTAATATATATATATATATAAATATAAATATAATTAGCGTGTGTGTTTGTGTGTGTGTGTGTGTGTGTGCTGTTTTCACCACCACCTATTTGAACTTTAAAAACAAACATCTACTTTACATTATTCAGAAGCAACTGGTTACTTCCTTTCTTCATATATGCAGAGATAGACAGGACCGCTTTATAATTCAAAGCATTTTAATGTGATTCTTTTTCTTATGAAAAGTAAAGCCTTCAGTTGTTAAATCATCTGCCGATTTTTCTATGAAGCACATTAGCAAACATGGAGCTATTAGTATTTCAGAATTCACAACCAGCTGTACTTGTGACTAACCAACACATGAACTGAAGCTCACACTCTGCTAAGACCTTTGGTTGACATTCGATTTTGAACCTGCCAGATGCATTTGTGTGAACCAGGGATACTGCATCTTTAATGAACAAGTCTCTCCTCTTTCCCCTGTTTTTAAATACAACACAAGCAGTGTAGCACTAGGCACTGCAATTGTCAAAGACAATTAGACT